GATGTCAAGGCCAACAAGCACCAGATCAAACAGGCTGTGAAGAAACTCTATGACACTGATGTGGCCAAAGTCAACACTCTCATAAGGCCTGATGGAGAGAAGAAGGCATATGTTCAGTTGGCTCCTGACTATGATGCTCTGGATGTTGCCAACAAAATTGGGATCATCTAAACTGAGTCCAGCTGGCTAATTCTAAATATACTTTTTCACCATAAAAAACAAAAAAAAAAAATACTTGATCCCTAGTTGGGGGAACTGTTTGGGAAGGATTAGGAAGTGTGGCTTTATTGGAGAAAGTGTGCCACTTGGAGGTGGGCTTGAGGTTTCAAAAGGCTTGTGCCAGCCCCAGTATGCTCTCTGTCCCCTGCTTACGGCCTAAGATGTGGGCTCTCAGATGTTCCTGTCACCATGTTTTTGCTCTGGAATCCTGATTCTAACCCTCTGAAGCACAAGCCCCAAGTTAAGAGCTTTCTTTTATAGGTTGCCTTGGTCATGGTGTTTTTAGTCACAGCAATAGAAAATCCAGAGATCTTGTGTCTCTGGAGAACCCTGACTTACACACTCACCCTGGAAGTCAGCTAATGCAGCACTGTTCTCTTGCTTACCTGTTAATACTATGCTGGTCTGGTCTGCTCTCCTTTGCCTTGAGTGTGAAGTCTGGTACACAGTGCAGGAAAAGGGTGCCGTGACTCAGGACTTATGCCATATGCTGTCTGTGGCCATCCTTTCTCTTTGAGCCCTGAGCCACTTGGACAAGTCCAAGAGGGCTGAGACTGATGAGCTGAAGTGACACATCGGCCTCTGCTATCTTTGCCCGAGTTGGGCCCAGCTTTCCATTCACCCCACAGTACCAACCCTGAGTGAAGTTGCTGGATGCCACAGAGCAGCTCATACACCTGAAGAAATCTGCCACTGAGCTGTGCAAGCAATTCCAGTTGAGATGAACTATGAGAATTACTCAGCCAGATGTAATATTGGAATCTATAATAAAATGATTGTGTATGATGCCTGGTTCTAAGGTAGCTGGTTATGGCAAGAGATAGTTGAGGCAAGTGTAAAATCTGGCCTCAATAAAGCACTCGTACCATCATAAACAACAGGCCTTCTTCCAACAGGTGTTCTACCAGTTCTGGATAACCCTCAGGCTGCTGCATGAGCAAATGCTGCAGGCGAGCTGAGAGTCGTCGTCTTTATCTCCACCTGCCTTTCCTCTAACACCTTGGCGTGCCGCGTTGCCATATGCTCCATGGACTTCTTGATAGTCACATCTTGCGCTCCAGTCTCAGACTGTTTTGTTTTCCACGGTGACAGACTGCATGCCGCCGGCCATCATCTCTATGAAGTGGACTCTCACACATCGTCACATCCGTCCAGAGTAGTGACCAGCTGACTGCTTCTTTCCAATTTGGCTCCATAATTGAAAACCTGATGGGTGAAACAGCAGGTTCCTTAGGGCAAAGCTATGTCTTCAGCGTCCTTGGGCACTTGATACACTCTCGCCACTGTGGCTGTACTAGGTGTCTTCCCTCTGCTGCTTTACAAGCCTGATCGCTGTACTGTTGCGTGATATTTTATTTGTGTTCTGACAGATGAAGCTTGCTTGGAGTCAGAGGGCAGAGATAGCCACTAGTTAACCATAGAGGTTTGGAGGACTGTAGAGAGAGGGACAGGAAGTGGTAAGGCGGGGTGGAGACAGGATCTTGGCCCTT